TTAGTGGTGTGGAGCGTATCCACTGGTTACAGCAGTGGTGTCCACAGAAATATAAAGTGAGTCACATCTGTAATTTTAAATTATGCAGTAGCCATGTTAAAAAGTAAAAAGGAACAAGTGAAATTGAAATTAATATTAGCAAGATATTTTTAAACCAATGTGTCCAAAACACTATCATTTCAACACATAATTGACATAAAAAAATCCCTTAGTGAGAAATTTCTTTTTTGTACTGTCTTTGAAATCCATTGTGTATTTTACACTTACAGCACATCTCAAGGTGGACCACAGGCATTTCAAGTCCTCAAAATCCTCATGTGGATAGCACTACCGTATCGGACAACCCAGGGTTTACAGTATTAGGACTTTCATGGGTGCAAAGCAATGAAGATATTTTTCAGTATTTGGAAAGACATTTATGGTAGGTGTCTTAGTTTGGGTTCCCACAGTAGCAAACTCTGAGGATTTGAGTAGAAGTAGTTTGTTTTGGAAAACGTTTGTGGGGAGTGGAGAAGCGAGACAGAGAAAGGAAGGAAGCCAATAAGAGGTGCATTAGCAAGCAAGTTACTGCTTAGGCAACTGGGCTCCCCCCTGCTGGGTAACACTGGGAGACAGAATTGTTTCAACTGACAGGCAAGGGGACTGGGGCGTTTATCTACCAACGCCCCATCCATCATTGATTGAGGGTTTACAGCATTCGGCTTGCCTTGCATATGGCCTCAAAGTGCTTCCATAGCTAGAAAAAGACCCTTAAGTAGAGTTGCAGATAAACAGTAAGCTGCCTTAGTTCTGGAGAGGTGCCCAGGGGGGATGAGCTGAAAAGTAATAGCTTCTGCCACAGCAGGTCACACAATCTAAGCTTTAGCTTCTAATCCTTTAGCTTCAGGAACCCCAGAGACTCGATGCCACCAAGACTCTCATTTACACTCATTGTGTTCACTTACATATCCCTACCTCCTGGAACAGTTCTTGGCACACAGTCTGTGTTTAAAAAATAGTTGTTGACTGTAAGTTAATCGACTGTATGACTTTCCTTTGGGTACCTGCTTTACTATTTCAGGCCTTTCCATCGTAATGGGAAACATGGCTACCACCAGTTATGGGTCATATCTTTAGAACTCCCTGATCAGAAAGGAAAATGAGGCTTTCTCTTTCTAGCTCCAGCCAAAAAATTCTCAAAAAAAGAAAGCCAGGGCCGGCCCAGTGGCGCAGTGGTTAAGTTCACGCATTGTGCTTCGGAGGCCTGGGGTTCGCTGGTTCAGACCTGCTCACTGCTCATCAAGCCATGCTGAGGTGGTGTCCCATATAGAAGGGCTACAACTCTACAACTATGATACACAACTATGTACTGGGTCTTTGGGGAGAAAAAGGAAAAAAGAGGAAGATTGGCAACAGATGTTAGTGCAGGGCCAATTTTCCTCAAAAAAACAAAAAGAAAGAAAGCCAGTTGGTTTGGCTTGGGCCATGAGCTTATCTCTGGGCCAGTCCCTTTGGAGACGGCCATGGTATCTTACGATTGGCTAGATTTGTGTCATGTGCCCACCCCTGAGGTTATGGAGGTGGAGACTATTACTAGAAGGTGGAGTGACAGAACAGTTGTCACCATATTTGGAGCTACGGATACCCAATGGAGTATGTTTAAATTGTGAATGCCATTTGTCCCATATGTCTTGGTAGAAAAATGCTTGAGGACCAGCATTTAGCTGGACCATTTTAGTTGGCTCTTATACCTACTGCAGATTTAACACTCAATGCTTTGACTATTTGAGAGGGATCCTGTAGATCATTTAGTAATTTATACTTTGCAAGGCACAAATTTTTTTCTTGTGCCCCGAGGTTTGTTTGGGAACGAATCATCAAGTACAACAAGATTGAATCTCTCCCTAGGTATTCTCTGCTCATCCCTACTAGAGTCAATGACTGGTTTCATTCACTCAGCATAATATTTTCAGTGTTCATCCATGTTGTAGCATGCATCAGTATTTTATTCCTTCTTATAAAATGCCAAATAATATTCCATCGTATGTAATGCCCCATTTTATTTATCTATTCATCAGCTGATGGACACTTGGTCCCCCCCATCCCCCAACTTGAGCTTTTATGAATAGTGCTGTGATGACATCTGTATGTAAATTTTCACGTGGACCTATGTTTCCATTTATCTTGGGTAAACAGCTAGGAGTGGAATTGCTGAGTCAGATGGTAACTTTATGTTTAACATTTCTAGGAACTGCCACACTGTTTTCCATAGCCGCTGTATCATTTTCCATTCCCTCCGGCAATGTATGAGGGTTCCAATTTCTCCACATCCTCTCTAATACTTATTACTGTCTTTTTAGTTATAGTATTGAACCACTTAAGATCAGTAAACAAGTGCAGATAGAGGTCTTATGACATCTTCCCCATTTTTGCAAGCTCCATGCCTGGCCTAGCGATCAAGTACCTAGACAGCATTCGCTAAACATTTGTTGAATGAATGAAAAAACCACCCTTTTATTTGTACATTGCCTTAGGTTTTACAAAGTGCTTTCCCAAGTTGTGAGGCTCACACTAACCCTGTAGGAAGTAGGAAGAGTGGGAATTCTGATTCCCATTTTAGACCTGAGGACAATAAAGGTCAGACAGATTTGGTAATAAGTGAAAAGTCTAGATCACTGGTCCCCTGGTTCCAAATCCAGTCTTTTCTCTACAATTCAACACTGGTTCTCAATATCTCTTCTAAATATCCTATTAGTTAATGTCGGAAAAAAATGTTAAGAAGTTTCAAAAGATCTTAGTTAAAAAAAACGCAGCAGAAGCTGAAGGAACTAGTGTTTCTGGCAGTTCGGAGACTGCTAATTATGGTTCTGAGAACTGTGGGGACTAGAGAGAGTGGTCTGGGGCAGTCTGACAAGAGAAGGCACTAGACTTCTAACTTGAGCGAGCAAATTCTTCATCTTTGAAGCAGAACTGATAGCTGAGCATTTACAGGGCTGGAAAATTTAAGGAGTTTCAAAGAGAACTGTAAATAAGGTGAGGGCTGACTATTTAGGTTGTAGATTACAATATCTGAGAAAGAGCTAGTACAGAAAAGTAAGTAATTGAACAATCAGTTTTCTTACAATGTTCAGCTCTAATTGTCTTTCCTTTTAGTAACACATTCTCAAACATCATGAAATAGCAAGAAAATAGTATAGTAAACCCCCATCACCCATGAGTTGAAAATTATTATCAATATTTTGCCATCATTATATGCTTGACTGTTAAAAAGTGTTTGAATACAGGAAGGCTTTCTTTAAAAGCCACTTCCTGGGGCCGGCCTGGTGGCGCAAGCGGTTAAGTGCTTACGCTCTGCTGCGGGGGCCTGGGGTTTGCCAGTTTGGATCCCGGGCACGCACCGACGCACTGCTTGGCAAGCCATGCTGTGGTGGCGTCCCGTATAAAGTGGAGGAAGATGGGCACGGATGTTAGCCCAGGGCCAGTCTTCCTCAGCGAAAAAAAAAAGAGGAGGATTGGTGGATGTTAGCACAGGGCTGATCTCACACACATACACAAAAATGCCATTTCCCCCCAGCTTTACTGAGGTATAATTAACAATCAAAAATTGTATATATTTAAGGCGTACAACCTGATGACTCGACATACATATACATTGTGAAATATTCACCACAACCAAGACAATCAACATAACCACCACTTCACACCTTAACCATTTTCCTTTTTCTTTTTTATGTGAACACCTAAAATCTACTCTTAGCAAATTTCAAGAACACATACAATATTGTCAACTACAGTCACATTACTGTACACCAGTTCTCCAGAACTCATTCATCTTGCATAACTGAAACTAAAAGCCATTAGTAATAACATCATTTCAGCCAAGATACATGGGAAATTATCAGAGAATAGTAAAGTGATCTTGTAATAAGCCCCACGAACTTGTAACCTTTGATCTTTCTTCATTTAGGGTTGAAGAGAAGAGAACTTCCTGAGCTGGTAAGATGGCCTCACAACTAACTGAAGACTTAGTGGGAGTCCAAGATTTTGTTCATTCAGTCCTACAATCATGCGTTCATTCAACCAGCTATTCTAGACACTTTTTAGGCTCACTGACCACCCACCAGTGAGACAGACCACGCTGGATTCGGACTCGAGTCCAAATCGGGTTTCATCATTTACTGACTCTTAAGACCTTGGACAAGTTCTGTCCTTGAGCCTCATCTTTATCATCTGTAAAATAGGGATAAGGATACCTTCTTGACTCGGGCATTGTTAGAGTTCAAAGTGAGGTAAGGTCCCCAGGAATGTGCATAACGGGTGTTCTGTAATGTATGTTTCGTGTGCCACTGTTATTCTGCTAGGCTCTGAGGGCAGGATGAAGGAAATAATAAGGCAGTCTCTTTCTCCCTATATCCCCTTTTCCCAGTCTAAGAGGGCAGCAAAAATCTCGCAGAGGTCCCCCGTATAACGCAACATGTGAGACGCCAAAAGCCTGTCAGTGCACTCATCTTCCAAAATCATTTGAGTTCTTCTAATCTTCTGTTACCTTTCTTTAGGTCTTGCAGCTCTACAAAGATAATCTGTGCTAAATCCTGCTGTTGTCTTAGGTCAAATGTTTGGCCCGCAGGTTGGAGAGCCTTCCACAGTTCTCTTTTTGGTCCTGATGAGGGCAGCGAGCCTAGAAGGCGGGCTGCTAAAGCCCGGTCTTCTGAAAGCCGCAGCCAAAGGGGCGTTTCTGAGCAGCAGGGCGGGCAGAGCCGGCGCCTCCCCCCTCCACCTTCTGGGTGGGTGCCTTGGCTCTGAGCACGAACTTGGCAAGTCTGCAGCCAGGTGCGAGCACGTGGGCGCCTCCGCGCCGGGCGAGCGTGCCGCGTGGTCAGTCTACCCACCTCCATCCAACCTCGCCTGCCCCCTCACCTCGCACGTGCGCGGCTCCCGGCAGCGCCGCCCCCGCCGCCCCGCACGCGGCGCGCCGCTCCCGCTCCGGGTCCCGGCTCCCGGCTCCCCGGTCCCCGCGGCGCGGCCCAGGAGGCGGGGACGGGGCGGGCCGCGGGCTCTTTGCTCCCGGAAGCGGGTGGTTCTCAGGCTCCCGCCGAGCGGATCGAGCTCCAGCATCCTCGCCCGCACCTCCAGGAGCAGCGAGAGCGGCGCGGCCGCCCGCACAGCGCGACCCCGGCCCGCGCCCGCCTCTGCCGGCAAGATGCTGTCTGTGTGCCCGGAGGCGAAGCCCAACCCGCTGCGGGACGCGAACATCTGCTCGCGCGTGTTCTTCTGGTGAGCACCCCGGCTCGGGCTGCGACACCCCGCCGCCGCCGGCCCGTGCCTGTGCCTGGCGTTGCCGGCGCCTTTTGGCGGTGGAGGGCCGAGGGTCTGGGCCAGGGAGGGCTTTCCGCCGCCGCCCGCACCGCCGGGGCTTCCTGCCGCCGGTGGGGCCACCCCACGCCGGCCGCGTGGTCCCCGGCTGCGCCCCGGCGCGCGGGGTGGGCAGGAGTAGGGCCAGGGAGGGGGACCCGGGAACCTGGTGGCGTGGGCTCAGGGTCTCCCTTCCTTGCCACTCGCGGCTCCGCCAGCCTCCAGTGCCCGGGAGGTGGGGAGCCAGAAAACCTAGGCTGCCTGGGGGAAATCACTGCCCAGCGGGAGGACCGACTGCCCCTCCCACACCCCGCCCTTGGCCGGCTGCCCCCGCACCGCGTAGGGATTCGCAGTTCTCCTGAACTAAAGCTGCACCCTTTTTTTTCCTTAACCAAGCAGCTTATTAACAGCTTGCTTTATCTAATGTCAACCAAAGCCTACTTACTGCACTGCCCTGGACTATTGCCATCTCCCAAAAGTGTCCCCACCTCTTCCGAAATTCCTTACGTGACAGCTGCGTTTCAACTCCACCGGCCTTTCTCTGTGTTCTATGACCGTGTCTGCCTGCATCTGTCTTTCTCTGTCTCCCTCCTGTGTATGCCTCTCACTGTGTGTCCTGGTACCTAGTTGTGGCAAATTTCATGTGGGTAAAAAAACACTTTATTTTCTAGTTAGTGAATGGGGACACTGTTCTTGAATAAGTTTTGCTTTTGCCTGGGACACACACAGCCACGACTGCGGTATGTCTTCGACCAGCCCCTTTCCCTGTTGATAAATAATATTTGCACTTCCACCTTTGAGGATCACTCTGGGGATGGTGTCCCTGAAGCCTGTGGGGTCTTATCGGGATCTCCAGCCTTTAGAGAAGCGATCCATGGTCTTGATGCAGGTGCTCCTGCCCGGGAGTCCTATGGTCCTAAAACCACTGAGGGGTCCCTGAGCTGGGAAGACGGACAGAGGTGAAAATCCGCTCAGAGAGATGAGGCTCTTAATTAAAAGTTTTCCATCTAGTATCTGAGACTACTAACTAGGTGGGCGTGAACCTTTGGGCTTTAATCACACTCGGTTGGTTATTAGGTCTTGCGTTTCTCGACCCTAACCGTTTCATCTTTCCCACGTATTCTGATCATTCCCCCCCCCTTTTTTTTTAACTTGAGGTCATATTGGCTTATAACACTGTGTAAATTTCGGGTGATCATTCCTTTGTTTTATGGGAGAGCCTAGGGGATCCCAAGGGGAAGGGTGCTCCCATGATTGATGGTGGTGTATTCAGTAGGTGTAGGGACATCTCTTGGCTGTATGGTGGCCCTTCTCTTAAGGAAAGAGGGCGCAGAAGAAGGAATATGGATGTGTCTACTGTAAATAATAACGAAGTAGGCAAACGTCTCCTTTGTTGGAGGCAGGGCTTGGAACTCTGGAAGCACTTTCTGTTTGTGGATTTTCAAAATGTCTGTGCGTGGAAATGGGGAGGTGAGGACTTCCCATTGCTCATTTTGGTAGGCACTTATTTTCGGTTTCCCTGCTGGAGGGAAAGGAGCGCTTAGCTCGGTTTCCCACGTGAAGGCACTTAAGGGAAGAGAGGTTAAGTTGCCTGGGATCACACAGCTAGTAGGTAGTAGAGTGGATCCCAAACAAGGCGGTCTGGCTCTGGAGCCTGAGTTCCTGTGTTCGCATCCCCTCTGCTGAGCTGCTCCTGTAGGGGTACTTGTTCTTCAATGCATGGAGGAGGCTATTCCACACACACCTTTGTTCTTGTAGGTGGGAGTTTCTTCAAGTTCCTGCCATTGGAGACAGTGCACGTGAAACATTTATTACCATGCTTTAGGGCAGCTGTTCCCAAAGTGTGATGCTCACACCTGCAGCATCCGCATCACCTGGGAGCCTGTTAGAAATGCAAAGTCTCGGCCACCCTTTCCAGCCCAATTCTGTAAAACTAGAAACTGGGCGGTGGGGGGCGGTGGTTCAACAAGAGCTTCAGGTGATTCTGACGGAAGGTTGAGGCTCACTCAATGCTTTGTCACCCCTCCCATTGGCATTGTTATTCCAGTATTATACTTTTAAGTAAGGGGCAAGACTTTGCGACGTCAGTTGTTGACCAGAATGACCATCCTGTAGTTAGTTACCTTCTGCAGTGTGACGAATTTTTTTTTTTTTTTTAAAGATTTTATTTATTTTATTTTTTCCCCCCAAAGCCCCAGTAGATAGTTGTATGTCATAGCTGCACATCCTTCTAGTTGCTGTATGTGGGATTCGGCCTCAGGATGGACGGAGAAGTGGTGCCTCGATGCGCACCCGGGATCCGAACCCAGGCCACCAGCATTGCAGCGTGCGCACTTAACCACCAAGCCACAGGGCCGGCCCTGCAGTGTGACGAATTTTAAAGTCTGAGGCACCTTAGTGATTTCCTTGTGTACCCTTCTGGCTGTAGGCTGGCAAGCTGAAAAGAGCCCAGTCAGGGAGTGCCACCGGGAGACAAGGCCCACCTTGTAGAGAAAAACCGTTTTCATCTTCTCATTGGGTATTTGCTTTTCTTCTCAAATTTCATGTGCTTTCCAAACTTGTGACCTGGTAGCTCCCTACCCAAATGATGCTGATAGCTAGCTTACTGACCTTATACAAATACTTTACTGAGGATTTGGTGTTTTCTTTTTTTTTTAAAGATTTTATTTATTTATTTTTCCCCTAAAGCCCCAGTAGATAGCTGTATGTCATAGCTGCACATCCTTCTAGTTGCTGCATGTGGGACGCGGCCCCAGCATGGCCGGAGAAGTGGTGCGTCGGCGCGTGCCAGGGATCCGAACCAGGGCTGCCAGCAGCGGAGCACGCGCACTTAACCGCTAAGCCGCCGGGCCGGCCCAGGATTTGGTGTTTTCACAGCTCTGTTTAGACGTGGGGTCTAAGAGGAGTCGTGCATTATGGCTATTGGTAATTTTTGTGGATTTTTGAAAAGAATATATTTTTTTCTATTTCTGTAAGAAGTTTAAAACTAGAAAAGAAAGGAATAAGGATGATTTATTTCTATTAGCCAAGTACATCTGCTATTTTGGTTGTTTCTTAGTCTTCCCCTAAAACTGTATATACCTTCGTACACACACACATCTTTTCTATAAAACTAAATAGGTTTGAATCCTGACTCCTTCCTAATTTTCTATGGTTAACATTTATTTATGGCATTAAAAAATCTTCAAAACATGATATTTAATGATTGTGATTTATGCAGTCTTTCACTTTTGTGGAACACAGTTTATTTCTAATTATGATGTAATGTATATCCATGCCCATATAGTTGGGTGCATAGTTTTTCTGTGTTCCCAGAAGCAGAATGACTGGTGAAAGGCCAAATTGTTTTCCAGCAGGATTGGACCAGTTTGCCCTCTTAGTAGTGCTTTGTGTGCTTATTTCACTGTCAACTTTGAGTTGAGTTAAAAAAAATTAAAGGGGGCCGCCCCGTCATGCAAGCGGTTAAGTGCGCGCGCTCCGCTGCGGCGGCCGGGGGTTCGCTGGTTCGGATCCCGGGTGCGCACCGATGCACCGCTTGTTGGGCCATGCTGTGGCAGGCGACCCATATAAAGTGGAGGAAGATGGGCAGGGATGTTAGCCCAGGGCCAGTCTTCCTCAGCAAAAAGAGGAGGATTGGCAGATGTTAGCTCAGGGCCGATCTTCCTCACACACACAAAAAAAAATTAAAAAAATTTTTCTAAGTTGAAAGGTTAAAAGTAATATTAAACAATTTTAATTTATTTGATTTATAGATGGCACTTTTTTTTGTTTCTTGATCATTTATTTGTATTTCTTTGAATTCTTATTAATAGATTTTTTTCCTAGGAGACATTTATAGTTTTGAAATAACTTGTAATACAGTCATGGCCACATAATGACATTTCCATCAGCAAAGGACCGCATATACAACAGTGGTCCCTTAAGATTAGTCTTGGTGTGTAGTAGGCTATTCTATCTAGGTTTGTGTAAGTACACTCTATGATGATCACACAGTGACGAAATCGCTTAGCAACGCATTTCTCAGTACATATTTGAGAAGTGGTGGTGAAGTGGCACATGACTGTACTGCTTATATTTTCCAGATTTTCATTTGTCTCAATTTAGGTCAGAGGTTTTAAATTTATATATCATTAATTATATTGAGCTTTTCTTTTTACTTTCTCCTGTTGCTTTTGTAATATATCTTTTGTTTGAGGAAGATTAGCCCTGAGCTAACATCCAGTGCCAATCCTCCTCTTTTTGTTTTGGCCTGAGGAAGACTGGCCCTGGGCCAACGTCCGTGCCAATCTTCCTCCACTCCACGTGGGTCACCGCCAGAGCATGGCTTGACAAGTGGCATGTCAGTGCGCGCTTGGGATCCGAACCTGCGAACCCCAGGCCGCTGAAGTGGATTGCTCGCACTTAACCGCTGCGCCACCGGGCCGGCCCCATAATATCTTTTTTTAATCCTAGTGTCATCTAAATCTCTATAAGCATTTTCTTTAACTCTCTTCTCGTTTCATTTCTGACAATAAAAGCAGCTAGAATTTCTTTTAGTATTTGATGTGATAGGCCCCATTTTTTCCAAAACAGCCCATTTTCCCGTCATGGTTTATTGAATAATTCTTCCTCTTCCCCATTATTGGAAGTAAGTGGCATAGCTTGTGAACCGTGTCTAGCTGGGTGCTAGATTGTCCAGTCCCCCGGGACTCTCCCTGGCGATGTCCCCGCTCTCTTGCTGCACATCATGCCGGGGGTGGGTGTGCTCTGCATTCCTCTGCCCACCCTCCTCCTGGAGGTCACCAGGTTGGGGGTTAGCAGCGCAGGACCAGTCACCAGAGATGGAGGTTGAGGAGGGTTTGGGCCAGATGTGGTTGGCCCACCAGAGAATGGTTAAATCCTCGCTCCCCTGATGCCGGCTCAGTCGGTGACCTGTTACTTTG